CCCTTTTTACAATCTTGTAGGCTTATTTACTTTGGATACTTCCATAGCTGGGTTGGTTTTTGGGTCATGTCATCATGTGTGTTAATGGTCAGTTGTTGTTGGCTGTTGCTGCTTCTCTGTCCAAAGGACTCCTTTTAGTATCTCTTGTAAGGTTGGTCTGGTTTTAATAAATTCCCTTAATTTCTGCTTATCAGGAAATGTCCTAATTTCACCATCATATTTGAGGGATAATTTTGCTGGGTATATAATTCTTGGTTGGAAATTTTTCTCTTTCAGGGTTTTATATATACCATCCCATTGTCTTTTCGCCTGCGTGGTTTCTGCCAAGAAATCCGAGCATAGTCTTGTTGTTTGCCTCTTGTAGGTAACTTTTTGTTTTTCCCATGCTGCTCTCATTTTTCTTTCTTTGTCTTTGGTTTTGGTAAGTTTGATGATGATATGTCTTGGTGATTTTCTTTTGGAGTCTATCTGTTTGGGGTTTGTTGGACTTCCTGAATGGATATATTCTCATCTTTCATCACATCAGGGAAGTTCTCTCCTAACAAATCTTGGACAATTTTCTCAGTGGTTTTCTTTTTCTCTTCGTGGTCTGGAATTCCAATGGCACATAGGTTATTCTTTTTGATGGTATAGGAGCTCTGGTAGCATAGTGCCTAAGGCACTTGACTGCTAACCAGAAGTCTGGCGGTTCAAACCCACCAGCCACTCCTCAGAAGGAAGGTTGGGCATTCCTAATTCCGTAGTGATACTACCTCGGAAACCCAAGGAGGGGTCACTATGAGTCGGGGCCGACTCAATGGCAAATAACAACAACAACAATTTGATGGTATACCACATGAATCTTAGGCTTTCTTCATTTTGTTTTGATTTTTTCTGATTGATCCCTTTCCAAAGAAGTATTCAGGTATTTGTCTTCAATCTCATTAATTCTATCTTCCATTGCATCAGTTCTACTCCTTTGCCCTTCCAGTGTGTTATCTATTTCTGATAATTTAGTATTAATCTTCTGGATTTCTATCTGTACATTTTTAATCATTTCTAATTTTTCATTGATTTTGTCATTTTTTTCTTGTATTTTCTTCTGAAATTCTTCTAGAGTTTTGTTTGTGTTTTCCTTGATCTATCTCACAATCCTTTGAAGATACCTAAATAATAATTCTTTTAAATTCCTTATCAGGTGTTCCAATGCTGTATCTTCCTCAGGGATGTGTTTTGGGTCTTTATCCTGGTCCCTTTTTTCTCCTGATTTATCTTGCTTCTTTGTATGGACTGTGATGCTCTGTTGTCTCCAAGGCATTGTGATGTTTTTGTGTTTATATTTAATTGGTGATTGTATGTTGGAGTGACTTGCCCACAATTTTCATTTTCTTTGTTTTGTTTGTATGTTATCTATACAGGCAGGGTATTTTGCTGTGCTCCTCTAGTCACTAGTTGACAGCACATATTCACTCACCACCTGTCTCCTTTCTTGTTGTCAGCCTCTTGTATGTCCTTGTCGACCTTCACAAACAGAGCCTATTCGTAGGTCCCTGGAATCCAAATGAGAATGCTACCACTTTAAAATCCAAAATGGTTGCCACTTGTAAACAATCAAAATGGCTGTGCCTTCCGGACAGCAGAAAGTCAACAGCTCAGGTTGTCTCCCTCCTTACTGTTTCCCTTCCTAGTTATAGGCCACCAGTGCAGTTGTCCCTGCAGACCTTGGTGACCAGGGCTGATCTTTAGGTCAACTCTCAGATCCCAACACCACTTGAAAATATTCAAGCTGGTGGTCCCATCAGAGTAGCTGATAGTCTGGACCTCTGACCTTCTCTGACCTACTCACTGTTTTTGTTCAGGTTTTTCCACTAGTTGATGCCTGATCTACTTCTGTATAGTTCCTTTCAAAGCTCAGGGCTCCAGGATTATCTTCTGTATCTCTGTCAATTGTTTTTTTTTTTTTTCTTTGTTGAAGAGGGTCTGTGTCATTTCTCTGCCTATTCCTCCATCTTACCGATATATCTGTGTGATTTAGGGGAAGTACTAATGTTTTCTGTACATTAGGAATAATGATAACAAAATTATCTACTTATAGAGCTGTTATGAGAGGTAAAATGAGTTAATATATGTAAAACATTTATATCAGCCCTTGACTGATATTAGATTATTAATTTCTGATTATTATTTTTATCAGGACCGAACCATGTTTCATTCTGTTGTACATAGGGTCACTATGACTTGGAGCTGACTCCACGACAACTAATAAAAATATAAACTTATTACTGTGATAAAAAAATGAAACTCAAAATTATTATTTCTTTTTACTTGCAGTTTTCTCACAGCATGTTTTAGGACTATTGGAGACTTGACCAATTTATATAAGCAATTGTGTTAATTAAGATTATGCTCAACTTGCCTGGGCAGTGGTTTTGGGTGGCTTGGAACATTAATCAGTAGAAAGGAAGCAGCCTTTGGGGTATGGCCTGCTTCCAGTATATACAGAGAAGCTTTGGGAAAGGTTACTAGTTTTTTGGCACATTCTGTTGTTGTTATATGCTGCTGAGTTGGACCCAACTCATAGTCACCCTTCCTTGGGTTTCCAAGGCAGTATCACTATGGAAGTAGATTGCCCAACCTTCCCTCTGAGGAGTGGCTGGTGGGTTTTAACTGCCAGCCTTCTGTTTAGTAGTCAAGTGCCTTAGGCACTATGCTACCAGAGCTCCCTTGGCATATTCTGGATCCTGCATTTGTCCAAGTCTTCATCTCCAGTTCCTGGACTTGAACCAGCACCCTGCCATGTTGTATGTTTATCTTGGAATTGTGCCATCTTACCTGCCAACCTTGGGTTCATCAGACTCAGTGGTCTGCTGCTGCCTGAGTTAGGAGAGACCCCTAGCTCCAGTTGGTCTGGAATACAAGGGAGAGCTGAAGCTCAAGTTCAAGGGGCAACCTCTAGAGCTGGCTCTCTGAATTCAGACTTGTAGCCTCATATACTGTAAGAGAGGGAGCTCTGAGAGCATAGTGGCTAAGGCACTTGAGTGCTAACCAGAAGGCTGGCAGTTCAAACCCACCAGCCACTCCTAGGAAGGAAGATGGGGCAATCTATTTCTGCAGGGATACTGCCTCGGAAACCCAAGGAGAGGTCACTATGAGTCGGGTCCTACTTGACGGCACATAACAACAACACACTGTAAGAGAATAAATTCCTATTTGTTAAAGCCATCCACTTGTGGTATTTATATTATAGCAGCACTAGAGAACCAAGACAGCAGTCAATGAATAATCCATCATTATCTAATTGATTTTTAAAATACTCAATTCTATGGAAATCAGAAAATTAAAAATTAGGGCAGAATATAATAAATAGATCACATTCTCCTGAAGCATGAAGAAGTGATAAAGGCATTGAGAGTAGGGGGATGCAGGGGTGTTAGCAGTGTTCACTGAAAACAAGAGCTGAATTTGGCCTGTTTATGAAGTCGGTGAGATATGTCAGGCAGAGAAGAACATCAGAAAGAGTGCTGTGACAGAGGGACCTGGAGTTAGCCCTGGGTCTCACGGAGACAGGAAGATGAAATGTCAAGGAAAGGATAGTTCCATCATTAAAAAAAAAAAAAAAAAAGTGTAGTCAACAAAACATCAACAACTTTATTCCGTTCACTTCATACCCACATTCACGATGAAGAATACAAAAACAAGATGCAAGACAACTCTCTTAACTCTCTCTTAATTTTTAATATATTTTATGAACAAAACTATTTCCCAATTTTAATAAGCAGTTATAGCACCCTTTTATAATTGTGTGGTTATTTATTAAAAATAAAATATTTTATAAGAGCTAGTTTTTGGAATGTAAAAGCCAAATTTCTTTGAATATTTTATCTAAGCTATCCTGATATTTTAACAATTAATATCATGAAGGAGTAATTATAACTAAGGGAAACATAAATGCAATTTTCATTCTGTGGTGTATGAAAACACATTGGATGAAGCAAGTTTCATGCTTCAACCAAGTGGAGTCCGTTTTCTTTTTGACTTGGGACCCTTCTACTACTTTTAACATTCCGTTTCACCCCTCTCAGTCCTATATGGTCACTAGGAGTTGGAATCCACTTGATGGCAGTGCTTTTTAATTTTTTTGGTTTATTGATTGTGTGCTCATCTCGCTTTTAGGTGAGAATGATATACATCCAGTGTGCTTTCCCCAAAATTAGGCCCCAACAAGGCAGCTTTCCTAAACATCAGATCTGAGAGGTCCACAGGAAGAGGTCAGCAGATATGGTCTGCTGTGGGCAAAGGAACTACTGCCTATCGCAGACTCCCTGACCTGGGTGGCCAAGGCTGTGAGCTCAAGTGAACCCTGACGGGAGGAGCTTGCAAGCGAGCCGTCAGCGGGCGTGGAGAGCTACTGCGTTTTGTCAAAATGACAGAAGGAGTTAATCCAGTCCCACACAAGGGCTCCCTTTCGATGCCAGGTGCCACTCCCTGAGAGCCTTCTTCAGGCTCCCCTAAGGATACCCTCTTCCTCCCCACAGGTCCTACTGGGCCCCGCCCCCTTTCCAGTCGCAACTCTTCTTGGAGTCCATTCAGACATTGTTGTCTTCGCTTTGTGCGTTGTCGGGCGTGTAATTGGGGGAACTCCTCCCAGCCGGGACCGCCTTAGAGGCGAAGCTGCAGGAACAGGCGATACGTGGCTCCTAGATTCGCGCGCTGGTGGCGCGGCCGTTTTACTGTTTTTCCGGAGCCCACTGCAGGGGCGGTGTGAGCCGGGTCTTGGAGTGGCGCGGGTCTGGGGAGAAATTCCCACCATCCGCTGCGGGCGCGGCGCCGGAGAGCCGGCGGGCGAAGCGGCAGCGGCCCCACACCTGTACCCAGCGGCGGAGGCGCGTGCACCAGTGCTGGCCGTCGGGGACAAGGGCAACCCTTGGGCCCCACACCTGTCACCCAGCGTTGGCAAGCGGCGCAGGAAGCGGATAGCGCCACACGAGGCCAGAGCTCCTGGGGCCGCCGCACCCGGCCCGGAGCTCCACCGCAGCATGGCCCCCAAACTGCTGCTTCTGCTTTGCCTCTTTTCCGGCTTGCGCGCGCGGTAAGTGGCGCGGGGGCCGGAGGTGGCCAAGAGGGGGCCCGAGAGCGCTGCCCGCCATCTGCTAGCGTGCGGCACCGGCAACGGGGCCCGCACTCACCTGTCCCATCTTCCCGGACACGGGGCTCTCTCCACAGCTGGGCAGCTATGGTCTTTTAGGCAGACAGGATTTGGAGGACTCGAGGATTAATGGGCGTTTCACATAAAGCTTCTAGCATCTGGTGGTTTTACGGGGTTTTGAAAATCAAGATCATGGGGCAGCGGCAGTGTCTTACTCCTTATGTATCCCTGAGCCCCCACCCCAATTCTCCAGGGTAGCACACACACATTCTGTACCATGCACACCACTCTGATAAGTCCCAAGACTGAGAAGTATGATTTCCTAGGGTCCAGTTTAGACCAGACTAGTGCAGAACAACTAGTTGAAGGAAGGTGGAGGAGGGTTGGAGGAGGTGAGAAGCCCTGCTTTTCTGAAAGAACTTGTCCTCAGATCATGCACACACACACACACACACACACACACGAACACACACCTTTTAGATCATACAAACCTATGTACACCTGCCCTCATGAAGCTAGCATGTCAGAGTTGATAATAAGGCTTCTGCTGAATGATGCAAGAAATTATCTCATCATATGTTGTTGTTATTATAATCCTTCCTCCTATTAAGGGGTGCTTAAAATCGCTAAGGGGTGCCTAGAATCTCTCGAAAAAGAGATGAGGGATTTTGATAGCAGAAAAAGAGTGAGAAAGGAAGGGTTAAGCCTGTTGCTGTTAATGCAACCTGATGTTCTCAGTTTGGTTTCTCTGGTTCTGTCTCCCAGGCAGAATCTTTGGGCCAGAGCTTGCAGACTGAAATGTGGTTTTGAAATCAGAGCAGCCCTGCTGCCTTCCTTCAGGAAACTTAGGGCACACTCCCAGCCCTCCACCCAAGCACTTTTGTTTTTTTTCACACTTTGCCATTTTCATGCTCTGGGAGTTAGAGAACCAGAGTATTCCTGGGAGCTGTAAGCTCTGTTGGTGCCAGGAATTAGTTAACTGCCTGGAGGCCTGTGTTTCGATTGTATTTGTGTGTATTTGTGTGAAATACAAAGGAACTGGAAAGATTTATTAACCCATTTCACAAAATCCAAAAGGGCCCCAGTTCTCACTCCTCATTTTTGACCTACGTGCCTCAGAAGGAAGGTTGGGCAATCTACTTCCGTAGTGATACCATCTCAGAAACCCAAGGAGGGGTCACTATGAGTTGGGTCCAACTTGACAGCACATAACAACAACAACAGCCAGCCCTGAGGAAGAAAGCCTGGTGCTTACCTCCAGATTTCCTGGTTGCTGATTTGAGGGTATGAAAAGTGCACGAGGAAGGGCAGACACCACCCTGGATTCACAGGCAATTTTCTCAATGAGACAGCCAAATTTTTTTCTATGGAGAAAGCTGTGAATGAAAAAAGGGTGCTTTTACCTGGTGGATTTCGGTGTAGAGGCTGAGACGCAGGCAGAGCATCAGTGTAAAGTAGAAATCCCAAGTCATGTTTAGTGTGGAAATCATATCTACATGATCTTTTTGTCCCCATCAATTCATGACATGACCATCCAGCACCTCGGGATTAGGTAATCAACTGTTTGTCACTTAACATTCTAGAAGGAAAACTACCTTTTGTCCTCATAAGTTTATGTCCTTTGTAGGAAGATAATCTTAGAATATGGCTTGAATCAGTCAGTTTACTCCAGATTTCAAAATACAAATAAAATCCCTTGGGAATTTTCATCCTTCCATGCTGCTACGGCAAATGTTATGATCTATATCTTGGTTGCTTCCTTGCTTTTCATAGTAAAGATTGCATGACATTTGCAAAAAATCCAAATTTTAAACTAATTTCAGTATCATAGGTATGTCCTTTCAAAGTATATGTGTTCTTTGGATGTGTCTTACAGGTGTGTAAAATAATCAGATTTTCAGCTTTATCTTTCAAAGCCATTACAAATTCATAGAAGGTTCTTATTTGCCCTCTGAGTTGCCTTTCTGGTGTTGAAATTCCTTGGAAAGATTCTGACAATTGTGCTCTGTGGTGATGACTTGGCAACTTTCTGGGGGAGAACACTCATGGATGAACTTATACATTAAAAACACTTCTTCATGTCTGGAACCCTTGGTGATATCTTGAAGATGCTACTAGAGTGTCACCCTGCTTTCTGAGGATTAAGGGATGTTTTTAATGTTTAAAAATACTTCAGACTTTTTCTCTGACCTGGATGCAGAGAAGGTATAAAACATCAAAATCACATCTGAGAGTTGATAAAGAAAAAGCTGATTTCAGTGATGGTGATTTAGGACCCAATAATCGAAGTAATAAAAATGCTCATAAAGATTACAGATAATTCACTTTGAATTCAGAAAAAGGACATTCTTTTATCCATCCACTCTAAGGACCTCTGGTGGTGTAGTGGATAAGGCACTTACCACCAGGTCACTGGTTCAAACTTATTAGCTGCTCCACATAAGGAAGATGAGGCAATCTACTTCTGTAAAAATTTACAGCTTTGGAAACCCACTGAGGGTTGCTGTGAGTTGGAATTGACCTGATGGCAGTGAGTTTTTTTTTTTTTTAGTGAGTTCCCTGAAATGAGATTTTATTTTCACCAAAACAAGTATATCCTGTTGGATTGTTGGTCTGGCACTAGCAATGTGAGGTTTCTACTTCACTTTCTTGTAGAAAGCTTGCGTGAGGACCAAGGTCTGCAGGAGCCCAGCACTGGCCACTGTGGGGCCTGGAGCATATCTGCCCACACATTCTGCCCACTCTCCACTTCACACAAGCTACAGAGCTAATGTCCTTCATAACTCCCGAAAAGGGGAAGAGAACACTCCTGTTTTTCTTTTCTCCTCCTCCTACTGCCCCCTTGTGCTGATCTTACTCTAAATTGCTTTTGCAATTTCAGGAATTCCCTTTTGTCACCACTAGAAGGAGAATTAGCCTCATTATAATACCTGTTACTGAAATTACTCAAAGTATTCTGAGAAACTAAAACAGTGAATATAGAGAACAGGTCAGGAGTTTGTCAATGTACATATGGGTCTATGAAAATTAAAAAAAAAAAAAAAAAAGAAACAAACAAAAAAAACCCACCACTGTCGAGTCAGATCCAACCCCTCCTTGGGTTTCTAAAGTGGTATTACTATGGAAATAGATTGCCCAACCTTCCTTCCAACCACAGACGTAGATTACTGAACCTTCCTTCCCAGGAGTGGCTGGTGGGTTTGAACTGCCAAGCAGTCAAATGCCTTAGGCACTATGCCACCAGAGGTCTCCTATGACCACTGGGGACACTGAAAATAGCAGCATGATCTGTTTCTTTAGTTGTGGCTTCTTGGAGATGGAAGGGCTAAAAGTTCGTATGGGTGGAGGTGAAGGAATAAAGAAGAAAGAGAGAAGGAAAGGGAGAGTAGAAGGCACTGTGGCAGGTAGTGGGATGTGTTTTGAGAATGTTGTGCATGATTTTGCCATGGTGCACTGCCTTTCTATCCACAGTGCTCCAGATGTCTTTGCTCTTTGCTCTGTCATGACTTGCCAGGTTTCCGGCAATGTTTGGTACCAGCTATGCATAACAGCCGTTCCTTGGAAGGAAGGTTGGCCACTCTATTTCCCTAGTGATAGTGCCTCGGAAACCCAAGGAGGGGTTGCTATGAGTCGGGACTGACTCGATGGCACATAACAACAACAATAACATGCATATCATACAGAATGTGCCTCAACTTACTCCTTTTGGGTTTTGTAAAATGATCAAATTAAGATTCTCGATAATAAAGAAAATATTTTTGTGTAGCATTTGAAGTTCTATAGTATTAATGGTAAAAATTCAGCTTTACAAATAAAACCAAAAACCAAACTCACTGCTGTCGAGTTGGATCCGACTCATTGTGACCCCTCCTTAGGTTTTTTGAGGTGGTATCACTATGGAAGTAGATTGCCCAATCTTCCTTCCAAGGGGTGGCTGGTGGGTTTGAACCACCAGCCTTCTGGTTAGCAGTCAAATGTCTTAGGCATTACCCCTCCAGAGCTCCCTTACAAATAATGAAGTGAAGTATATCATTAATGAATATGTATTCTAAATTTTTAAAGTTCTTAGTAATGGCAAATATTCAATATAGATAAATGTCCCCTTCAGCAACTCATAGTTAATATAGCTGAAATTTTTATCCTTCTAGCTAAAAAGAATTCAATAAATAGAATCACAAAGGATCAGCCTAGTAGAGAAGTCATTGCTAGACATATTTTGTATACTCATCATCAAAATATCATACACAAGTACATATTCATCTAGTTCTACACTTCCTGACTACTGTTCTAGTCTATGGTATTGATCGTTAACATTTAAAAAGACTCATGCATAATTATATAATGACTCTGAAGACCAAAATTTAAATGAAGTAAAGGTAATGAACTTAACAAAATTTATTCTTCTTATTTATTTCATGTTTATTGTAAATAATTTAGACAATCCCAAAAATTAGCTGAAAGAATGTGTATCATTACACCACCATCTTGAGATGATGTTAACATTTTGGATTCAGTCCTGGATGATAAACAGAAACTAACTCATACCCAGTCAGAACAAATAAACCCATAGCAATTTTCTACTTTTTTGTTGTTGTTTGAGAAAAGAAGTCATTAAGGCATGTACATTGACAAATTATAAAGAAATTGTTTTCTCTGCTAGTTTTCTTCTTATAGTGATTGGTTACGCACACGAAAATGCCTACTTGAAAGCAGAGGGAAACTTCCTCTTTGTAAGCACAAGTGGTTTTGTTGCTGAAGTGGCCCTCTAAGAATGTGCACTTATTTGTGTCCTCTGCAATCAAGTCTTCTGGTGAGCTTGTATTGCTCACCAAAGGTGGCTGTCATGCTCACATTGCATGAAAAAAGGACAGAGGTACTCAAGCATCATCTAATCCCATCTATTAATGAACACATATTAGAAAGCTTTTAATTTTTAATGTTCGTCTTGGCTGCTGTTCAAGAGATGAATCTATTTGTGCTGAAGGAGTCATGTGAAATTGCCAGAGGATGTTTACCAACAAAAATCTCAGTGACTTGCTATCTTCTATGAGAACTAGCAAAGTAAATCACCTCATCATGTCAGTCTTAATGAGAAACACATAAGTGAGATATAACTATTTCTAATGAGTGTATTCTGCCTTCAATTAAAAATATTGGTGGTAGAGGACAGAAACTACACAATAGAACCCTCGTCAGTCAACCTCTGGAAAGTTAGATGACCTTCTTAAGTTCTCAAGGTAGATCCACGGATGGATGGCTGCCTGTTGTCTGACCTTATGGCATTGATTTACCCGTGAGAATGCCTATTGTTTAACTTGGCATATTGTTTTACTTGTGACATTAAATGTAAAACAAAATTAGAGGTCCATCATGCCGTGTCCATAGTGGTGGCATTCTTCCCATTGAGTGTCCTTAGTTTTATTTTATATTATTTTTTCATTTTAATGATAAGACATACAATTTGGCTGAGGGTAATTGGGGCTTTCTACTCAAGATTGGCTGTGTTGTCCACTCAACAAAATGTAAGTAGTACTTGGGTGCCAAGTCCTTAAGCTTAAGGTACTTCTGTAGCCATGACAGCAATTTCTAAGTCACATTTTTGTGCCATAATTATAGGTCCAGAAAGTTAGAAGAGGATGAATATGAAGATTCATCATCAAATCAAAAGTGGGTCTTGGCACCAAAATCCCAAGACACAGATGTGACCCTTATTCTCAACAAGTTGTTAAGAGAATATGATAAAAAGTTGAGGCCAGATATTGGATGTGAGTATTTATGTTTATTATTTCAACAAAAGATATGGTGTGATAATATGCTTTTAAGTGTTTATTTAAAATTATTTATAGATTCATGAGAAATTGTTAACATATTACACAGAGGTCTCCTGTGTTCTTCACACAATTTACTCAAATGGTTACATTAAATTTTGTAATGATAGTTCAATATAAAAACTGTTGGTACAATGTGTGTGTTCAGTTCTGTGTCATTTTATCACATATGTAAATTCATGTAACACCACTGCAATCAAGGTACAGAACTGTTCTATCACTGCAAAGATCTTCCACTGCTACCCTTTCATAGTCATACTCACCACCCTCCCCAAATAACCTAACTTCAAGAAACCATTAATCTGTTCTCCACTTCTACATTTTTGTCATTTTGAGAATGTTACATAAATGGAATCATATAGTATGTGACTTTTTGAGATTCACTTTTATGCTATTAACCAAAATGATTTTGAGATCTGTGCAAGTTGTTACATATCAGTAGTTTGTTCATTTTAATTACATGGTATTCTGCAGTATGGATGTGCCAACTTTGTTTAACCATTCACACACTGAGGAACCTTTCTGTTGTCTCCAGTATTTGGCAATTATAAATAAAATGACTATGAATATATATGTACAGGTTGTTTTATGGGCATACAATTTCATTTATCTTGAATAAAAGCCCAGAAATATGCTTTCTGAGTCATATAAGTATATGTCTAGCTTTTTAAGAAACTGTCAAACCCTTTTCCACAGTAGCTATACCATTTTATATTCCAACCAGCAATATATGAGATGTGTGACTCAGTTTGCCTGCATTCTTAACAGCACTTGGTATTGTCATTATTTTTTTTTATTTAAACAAATTATCATGGTGAGATATATATATATATATAATGAAATATCCCCACCATTTTTGCATATACAATTCAGTGATATTAGTTACATTCACTATGCTGTACAAAAATCAGCACTATGTATTTCCATTTTTTCCCCCTTAATACAAACTGTTTACCATAAGTAATATCCATCCTTTTCCCCTCTTACTTGCTCCTAGTGACCACCAATGAACTTAGGTTTCTATGCATTTGCCTAATCTGGATATTTCTTATAAGTAAGATCATGCAATATTTGTCTTTGAGTCTTGTATTTTCAATAATTTTTTTCTTAATTTTAGCTGTTCTAGTAGATATTTAATGATATCTTATTTGCATATCTTTAAGGTTAGTGATGTTGACTTTTTCATGGAAATATTTCTTCATGTTATTTGCCCATTTAAAAATTGTATTTTTTTTCCACTGTTGAATATTTAGAGTTCTTTACATTTTTAGATACTGTTTGATACATTACCATACAACTTTATGAATAGTCCGGTTAGGTTAGAAGGCTCTCAAAATAGGACTGGGAAAGAGCTGCATCATCTGAGTAAACCCAGTCTTACTCCTTTGGATAAGGTAAAGCTTTCAAGACCTCCATTTGCTGTGTGCCACAACTCAAATTGAAGAGAAACAGCTGCAGACATCTATGAATCATTGGAACATGGAATGTATGAAGTATGAATCTAGGAAAATTGGAAGTTGTCAAAAATGAAATGGAATGCATAAAGATTGATATCCTTGGCAT